CGGACTCGCAGATCTGTGTATCAATTTGAATCTCTGTTTTAGCATTGAATAGCTGACTGACTGCCATAAAATAGTTCTCCGGTGACATTTTATCTAATGCCAAAACGAGGTTGTTTTCTAAAACTATTGTGCTCATTGTGTTTCATATATTCATTATTCTACACACGACGACAGTTCGTCCGTCGATTTCGACGATGACCACCGTGTGCCCCACAGACTGCATTGCGAGAGCAGGGACGGTGACTTACGCAGGGGTTTATAGTGCCAGTAGACTTGCGTAGCATCTACCTACACTCTCTCCTCCTCCCCCGCCTGAGCCCGGTGTCAAGACCAAGTCAAGAAGACCGGAGACGGGGGAGGCCGCAGGTGGATGGCTCGGACGGATCCTCGCCTTGGCGTTCCACTCCGCACCCCTTGGTCCACACACAAATGACCAGGATTTTGACCAGCAAAACAATGGGATGGTGGCAGTGGTCCAGTTGTGCGACGAATGCCGACAACAGGGTCCGCCAGCGCACCCCGCAAATGTTGGCATTTGTTAATGCGCACAGATACCGCCTGCTGGAGTCCGATGTGGCCCCCGTGTTGGTCCAGCGCATCTAACACGTGGCCCGTTCTGAGGACACACACACACATTCACATGCGTCAGTCACATCGGGCAATTCATTTTTTACCTGGTTTGGTGTTTTAGGTTTTCGAAATTTCCTACTATTCTTAGAAAACTGCTTTTTCTGACCAACCTAATACCACTTTTCATACATTTTTTTACTTCCATTCGTCTAGCAACACTCGAATTTTAATTAGATGTTCCTATGGCTGGAAACGGATCGCTTTTTGAACAACCACTAATTTTCGTGAATTTGGTAGGTACGTATAGTTTGATTGCTGTGAGTCACCAAAAATCTTACGGCTGATATTCGATTGTCCGGTCAACTTCATCCAACACTTAGCCAAAACTGATTGCATTTCCAGCCTAGAGAAATTATTTTATGCATCAAGTCAACAGACATCAGGTTGATGGAGAGTAGAAGGAAAGATTGGATTACTAGACTCCGCTCCAAAGCGCGATTATTTCCTTTTAGAAACCGTACATGTGCGCAGATTACGTCCTCCAAGATCCAGGCTCGTTAATCTAAACGTTGAGTGCAAATTATCTTAGCACTTCGCGTTTTACTAATCGAGTGAGCTGGCACTAAAAGCTAGTTGAGGGATATGTTGTTGAGAATCTTGCGCTATTAAAATGGAATGGAATCGTCTTTAGTCTCAAGCTAAGTTGATTACTTGGGTTGCCTACCGAAGTACTGCACGTGTCACCTAAGAACTAAAAAAGGATGTTTTTGGTTCGTAAGCTTTTTTGCAGCTTCATGGACTAGGATCGCGGAAAAATATGACTGAAAAACCCGGAAGATGGAAAATCTTCCCGCGATGGGTGTTTTGTTTTCGAAAACAGAGTGCGACACAGCGGAGATGTCTGCGCTTTATATTCGAAAATAGGTCTTTGCGACTCAAAAATCACTCTACGCTCTTCTATATTTGGTCATGAGGCACTCGCTTGTGGCAGTGCTTTCCTGCATCCTCCTAGGAGCCAGTGCCAATGGTCTGCTTAATTTGATATTTCAAATTCAGTGCAGATATATTCTTATATGAATTAGCATGCTTTTGTCCTATGAGAATTCAGGTAACTTAAAGAAATGCACCAGAATGTTCTCAAGTATCCTTATTTAACAGCCTGCAGAAAGAACACTGAGGTCCTATTTGGGCCAAAATCGAATAAACAGTAAAGTCTTAGGTTTGAGTACATGGTCACACGGGTGTTTTGATATGAGACTTTCATTCACATGCCAGTCCTTTTGAAAATACGGAAATGCAAGCGTCTTTCTGAAAAACCTAGACTCTAAGATATGTAACCGTAAAGAACGTTCAAATGCAATGATATTACTGATCTCATCGGTCTCCTGTTTCTCAAAGAAAACGTGCAACAACACTGCAAATGAAATTCTTCCAGTTGCTGCTGTTTACATATTGCCTGATATTTTATGGTAAGAGGATATCATTCCAACATGTACTAGTCAAAAGCCAACATCGGGGAACGCTGTGGGACAAACTGATGAGCCGAACCCCTCTCAGCTTTGTCATACAGTAGCAGAATGTCGACGAAACATGCGTGTCTGGGCCTTTAGCTTGTACCTGTGCTATTAGTGCGGTATCCTCTTGCCCTAAAATCTACTATTAGCTGTCTGTCAGCAATTGATGAATATTACACGGTTATCCGCTGTGTCCAATAAACTTTGACCCAAATATTCATACATAAAAAATCGATATAAGCCTATAGACCTAGAACATACTGATCTACTCCAAGTTCGCAGTTAATTTATGAGGAAATTAAGAAACAAATGTATTGCCTGATAATTACACATGCACCTTAGAATAGATGCACTATCTCATGAAATGTTAACTGCAATTCTGAAATGCATCTTCAGTTAGGGAAGACTGCTTAAGTAAGACTAAGTATCGCACGCCGTGTCAGGATGCCGGCTCTAGAAAAATAATCTTTCCGGCACTTGTATAAACTGCATTCAGTAAACAATGACTACCTAAGAGGTATGAATTTTTCCTATTGATGTTCCATGCTCTTGAAAATTCAAACATTTTCAGGAGAAAATGGGCAAAAATATCTTCCTCTTGTCCCCACTTCGTAGCAGGTTGCGTCTTGTTAAAATATTTCAGTTTTAAAAACTGTCTCAATTACTGAATAATTTTGAGCCATTGCACTTGAATTCAGGATTTCCAAGCCGTGAGCGGTTTGTCTTCCCTATAAGGAAAATCACACATTTGTAGATATTATTAAGATGTCGCATAGTTATTTTATTACTTTGCAGCGTATGTGGACCAGGTTGCATACTTTACAGGAAGTATTAATTAATGAGCGAATGCAAGGCTTTATAGGTAGACAGTTTGCGATTTCAAAAAATTCTTACAACTGATAGCTTGCTTAAAAGCGAAAATATCCTCTCTCTAAGCAAGAATTTTAAAGACGACCTAATGTACCACCAATTGGACACAAGAAAGAATATATTTTAATTGTTCCCTATAGGATATGTTTGACTCAAAAAGCAGTGGGAAAAAGTTGTTTTACATGAGTCGGCGCTTCTTATTAAGCGTAGTTTTTGCAGGCTGTTGGAAGGAAGCTAGGTCAAAAGCCGGAATTTTGACGTGACTGGAATATCTTATGATTATGTTGTGCGACAGTTAGTCTAACGGTCCTACTTAAGTTGTCTTTTCCAATCAAAGAAAAATTTCATAATTTCGAATAAAATTTCATGAGATAGTGCATCTGAAATAAGCGGTTATTTCTGTAGAAACAGCCTTTGGAACGGTCCTCGGCTTATTTTGTCAATTTGCAAATTTTTAAAGTCCTAATTCATGACTGAATGGGCTGAGGCCACTGCAGGCGGCAGAGGTGAAAGAATGTTTGTATTTAAACGTTGAAAAGTCGAACGACTGGCTGGAAATAATAAGTGGCCCTATTTTTATTTTTGCATGCCTCTAAAGACCCTTTTCTCGTAAATTATACTCTTTGAAGTTGAACCTGGGTTTCCTAAGGACTGTGGGATTCCAGCGGCCCAACGGATGGACAAGGAGGAAGCTGAGGGAAGAAAGACCCGCGCAACACCCAACAGTTGGTCTTGGCATGTAAGTGACTGTTTTTCATTCCTTAACACACTAGTACCAAGTAATTAAATAGTGGTATAAGCAATACAGTATGGTCTTTCCTTAGAACATAAGTAATAAGTGATTAATAAGTAGCAGCGGCAATGCGGTTTGCTAAAAAACAAACATGTTATTCATTTTATATTACTTACAATTGATGCAACCTTGTAGTAGAGCACTGAGGGTCAAACGCCCATTTGACATGCCTATATACCTCGCTTCATAAGGCCTGTGACGTACTGATGATCGGTAACGACCGTAAAACAGCTGTCTGCGTCTGGTTTGTTGCACTTTTAGCGAGTTGCCTATGTAGCATATGTGGTATGTAGCATATGGCACAGCGTTCGTTGTCGAAAGTAGCAAGCTGGCGGGCGGACAGAATTGGATCGAGTGAGATCCTAACCACAACAGTGAGGGTGAAACACCCGCTTGACATGCTTATATACCTCATTTCAGAAGGCCTATGACGTACTGATGATCGGTAACGACCGTGAAGCAGCCGTCTGCGTCTGGCCTGTTGCACTCTTAGCGACCTGCCTATATACACATATATATGGTAGGCAAAATCAACAAGTGCTTAAATCAGATGAGGAGCCCAAAGGCGATATTTGAAAACGACTGTAGACAAATGAGACTGCAAGATGCCGCTCTAGCGCGTTTCTACGGTTTGCCAAAAACTCACAATCCAAATGTCCCCCTACGACCCAACGAAGCACTGAAAGACACACCTACATACGGACTGGCTAAAAGGCTTACCAAGCACTTAAAGAAGCTGACGGAAGGCTCCAACCACACAGCCGCCTCCTCAACGCACTTCCTGGAAAAAGCCCGAGGCATGACAATAGCTCCCGATGAGATCCCGGTATCCTTTAACATCGTCTCTTTGTTCACCCCCACCCCTAAGGAGTTGGCCATTAAAGTCATCAGTCACTTACTGGAACGAAAGTACGACGATGAAGAAAAACTTTTTAAAAGGAAGCACGCGATTGAGTTACTGGACTACTGCTTATGCACGTATTTCACTTTGTACGGCCATACTTACGAGCAAATTTAGGAAACTCCGATGGGATCCCCGCTCTCCGGCAACCTGGTTGAGGCGGTATTTTTAGGAATTGGAAACTCATGCATTTCAGTCCTACAAGCCAAAATTCTGTATGCGCCATTTGGACAATACGTTTGTCGTTCTACACCGAGATACGAAGGAGGCCTTTAGAGGAGAATTAAACTCCATCTTCCCACAAATCCAATTCACGATGGAGGAAGAAGAAGACGGAACGCTCTCTTTCCTCGACGTGCGGGTAACGGGGCAGGAAGATGGAACCCTCCAGACCAGTGTTTTCCGAAAAGCTACAAACCCAGAGAAAATACACCACTGCAACAGCAACCATCCCCTGTCGCATAAACGCAGTTGCGTCAGGACGCTTTTCCGCCGCATCACACGCACTGCAGAACAGAGGTCGAGAAGCTACAAGAGTGTGCGTCCCTGTGGCATCTCTTCCTTGTCAATGGATACCCACGTAGCTTCGTAAACAAATGTCCGTTCCAAAGACACACAAAGACTGACGGTGAATCAAATCAAAAACCTGAGTCACTTCATGTCTTGCCCTACATGAGGAACGTCTCTGAGGCCACTGAGCGTATACCAAGACCACTTAACGTGGACGTTGGACACCGACCGGAAGCCACTATCCGCCGATTAGTCATGCAGCCTAAGGGTAGGTTGCCCCTGAGGACATGTGAAGTGTCATTAACTGCGTCAACTGCCTAGAATGTCAGGCCAACAACTGCGGCTAAAACGCGCATGCACGAGCACACTTTAGCAGTCAAACGGAAATATGCACGCTCACACGTTGCCATGCACAATCTAAAAAGTGACCATCGGTTTGACTTTGACGGCGCCCAAGCGCTCGGCCGAGCGGAAAACAGACTGGCACGAGAAATAATCGAGGCCTTGCAAACAGTCGCCAACTCCATCAACCGCAGCGTCGAACTAACGGCGCCATACGAGGCAGCCAAACACCACTTACGAACCAGGGGAAGCCCACTGAAGATAGTAATTGATGGCCTTATCAGGAGCGAGAGAGGGGGACCTATTTAAACGGTGCAGTTCTCATATTTCCTATCTCCGATGATGCGCTCGAGTATGAGTGTGAAACGTCGGATGAATAAATCATCATCCCCAGAGCTGGCCTTACCATCTTCTTCAATCTCAACACATGGGATCAGCATTTTCGCCTATATATATGTCTATATATATATATATGCAGAATATTATTACCGACAAAGACAAGGGAGACTGGAATGGCTTTTTCTGGCTTATTAGCCGTCGTCAGCCAACCATACCTAAGCCCGAATTGTGGAACACCCGAGCCTTGAACTCGCGACCTGTTGGTTTAGATGTCCACGCTTCTACCCACCGGGGTACGAGCCCGTTGCCTATATCATGCGCTGTTGTGCGGCTGCTGGTTGGGCTCGAGAGAGCCCATTAGGCACAACGGAACGAGCGAGTTCCGTAGGAACGATCGGTGAGTGCCCCCTACCATTATATATATGTATTTATTTATATTTATATATCAACTAGGTAGAAGCAAAAGCATGTCAGTGATAACAGAAATCAATTAAACTTCGTCCTATAACACGCGCGAAGTGTAGGAATGTGGAGGGCTGAGGGAGGGGGTAATAGCACTCAGCGCCAAGGCCGGAGTGAGAATGGAAGGGCGCGAAGAGTTGCAGCGTTAGTCGGCTTTCAGGCTCCGCTGCAACTCTCCGCGCCCTTCCATTCTCACTCCGGCCTTGGCATTGATTACCATTACCCCCCCCCCATTCCCACACTCTGCCTGCGTTTTAAGACGAAATTTAATCGATCTCTCTTCTCACTGACATGCTTTTGCTTCTACCCCGTTCCCATATAAATGTACCGACCCGACGAGAATTTATCGAAAGCGAACCTATGCTCGCCAACTGGTCTTCTGAGAAATTTTAAAGTTCAACGATCTGACAGATACTTTCCGAAATCGTCCATATCCATTTTGTTTAAGTTGATGCTTTTAACTGTTGCCCTGTACATTCCGAATGAGGTGAGGGGGCTTGGTATCACTAGCTGGCTCCTCAAACATTGCCTTCGCTTGCTCTTTGGCGTCGACGACTTGAGGACCCTTTCCGACGTGGCAGTTTAGCTGAGCTAATTTCGACCTGCTGTTAGCGTGGGATCGGCCTACTGGTCACCGTGGCCCGCTGGATAAGAACAGTTTCGGTCGGATGTGTTGAGGACACTTCCACGATCTGATCTAGTACCCCTTCAAAGTAGTTCATGCAGACCTCCGTGGGTCTCTCCAGGAACATGGTCACAAATGCCAAAACCCGCGTAATTTAGCCTCGTGCTAGCCAAGTCTTCCAAGCTTGGAAGTAAGTCGGCAAAACTACCAATGGAATCGGGCAACGTACCCACAACTTCACTACTGAAATCTTCATAACTCGGCTGAAGAAGAGCAAACCCTCTACCCTCCCACTGGCCACAGTGGGGTGGGGTGGGGTGATAAATGCATGCACCCTAATAACTTCGACCAGTTATTTGAAAATGAAAAAAAGTAATGCCAAGTGTTGTAAAGGCAAGCGAGGGCTTTGGTCAGACACAGACCAGTGTGCGCTGAGGTGAAATCACAGTCCGTAGTCCAAAATGTCAATTAGTCGCTGTCTTCGACAGCCTATTTCTAGGCTGCTGCAAATGAAGTGTTTTGAGAGGATGCTTCGGGAAGCTGTGGATGTGCACTTGTAAGATGGAACAAGCTGCTGCTGAGGAATGGCAGAGGGATTGGTTATTATCAGAATGTACAAACCAGAAGAGATGAATGTGAGGTTGCAGTTCTTCATTAAAGGTGCATATTATCCTGGCTGTAACATCAACTTTAGACTAGAGTTCAGAAAGTGGTTTGGACGACAACCATAATAAAACAACGGGAACGGACGTTTATGATAGGAAGAATATTCAGCAAACAGTCCGCTCTTTAAAACTGTTTACAAAAAGCAGCGGAATGTGTGAGCCATTCTAATAATTTGATTTGGCATGCACTTTGTCGAACCTAATCTACTCTGCGTCATGGAATTTAGGTGCGAACTTATATCACATTTGTTACAACTAATGGAAATATAACCCTGCGATGATTTGGACAACGGGACGAGTGAGTGCCATAAAAAGGACGATCGGTGAGCTCCCCTCTGCCATCGTATATTCCTCATCGCGATTAAGAGGACATCGAGCCCCTGACTCAGTGGTTAGCGGCTTTGGACTTCTAACTAACAGGTCACCAGTTCGAGGTTAGATATGACTGGCTGACGACGGCTAATAAGCCAGAAATGGCCATCCCAGCCTCGATTGTCTTTGCCTGTAATGTTATTCTTCATATGTGTATTATGCGTCGTGGGCGGCTGCTGGTTGGGCCCGAAAGAGAGTCCGAAGACACAATGGGATGAGTGAGTTCCGTAAAAACGATCGGTGAACGCCCCCGTACCACTGCAAACCATCAAAGTTGTGTGGACTTTCCTTGGAGCGCTCAGAATGTTTTTTCTTCACATTTTAAGGTGGGCTTGTGGTCGGACCGGAGAGGACAACACCCGTTTTGTGGAGGAACGCTCATCAGTCCTTCCATCGTCGTGACTGCGGCACATTGTATAGGCGCACTTGTTGGCTGCACTGAGTTACCTCTAGGTAAACGATTTACCATCCCAGCTGCATCGGGTGATCGACTTCAGATACTTGCTGGTGCCTACGATTACACAGAAGCTGGTACATCTGATCGGTTGCATCTCGTGCAGTACGTGGTCGTTCACCCACAATACAACAACACCCTGCGTGAAGAGGGCTATGACATCGCGCTATTAAAGCTGTACGAGGATGCAAGACCAGGTACTTTTCTACATTACTGCCTGTAGTATTGCACTAAACTGTTACTAGCATCTATGCTTCGAATCTGATGAAAATGCGTCCTCATGACTAATCATTATTGGCGAGTATAAATATATGCATATGCCTTCTCACCCATAGGATACTATGTGGGCATCGTAGCGTGCTCTAAACAATTCCATGTTTACCTCCCCGTTTTCCTGTCAAGAAAGAACAGCGCGGCCAATTTGCTTTCCATCCAATCGCTTGACGCTGCAGCGTGGAACCATTTGCTACTTCGCCGGCTGGGGAGGACTTTATAAAAAACGGTCACCGAACACACTGGTTTTTCCAAAGACCCTCAGAGAAGCCCAAGTTGAAATTGAGTGGCATGTTCCTTGCATGGAAACCTTTTGGCCGTATTACAGAGACCTTCACTCGTGCATAAAAACAGACGGCACGGTACGTTAAAATGGCTGAACAAGTCACTCAAAATTTGTGAATAATCCTCTCCTGACGCCATATATCGTACTAAATAGCAGAGTTAGCAATTATCTGCTCCCTCGGTGATGCAAAGTCCTCTGGCGCAAGGATTGTCACGTGCGTCAACTACGGAGGATTTTCGCATTACTGGCACGACACGTAAATTTGTTCACAGATGATTACTGTCTACATCAAGCCGTTCTAGTTCAGCACTCCTGATTGTTTTACACCTCCCAACTGACTTTCATGTGCGCTTTAGAATCCATGTGTCGGAGACAGCGGCGGTGGACTATTCTGCCGTTCACATAACGACGACGACGAGAGGTGGTTCTGGTACGGAGTGATAGAGAGCGGAACGGATGACTGCAGGGGGCGCTGTGCAATTGTCAGCAATGTCAAGGCAATTCACGGATGGGTAAAAGAAACTGCGCTTCTTCTAAGTCTGTAATTTGTCAGTTGCATGAATCCCCGTCTTACTGAATAAACGAAACCTTACCCAGAAATGAAGTTTTGGTGCCGTATCTCAAAAAACCAAGTCATACGACGACTCCGAATGAACTAGATTTCGCAAATATGCACTGCCCATGGCATGAGATCAGGGACAAACACTGACCGCGTGGGACTACTGACGAATGTTTTACTGACAGTTCAACGACGTTCGATGGTTAGATCTGGAGTCACGAGTGTTTTGTCTGGCCTAGGGGCGGGATCATTGCCTACCCGGCCCGATCCATAGGATGACCCTAACTCCGTGAGGTGATTGTGTCAGCACAAACCCCTTCATGAGATGGAATTTAATAACAGGATTCTAATTAGCGGGGCCAACCGATACAGCCGGGTGACCATCAGGCCCAGTTAGTTTTCACATTTTCCACAGTCGTTTTCAATGTTCAGCTGTACTGCTTTACGAAATACGCCAAATTTCGATAACACCCAACGAGGGTCGAGTAAAGATAATTGGACCACGATGCTCAGCCACGTACAATGCATGGGAGCACGAAATTAGTCGAGGCCGAGATATTCCACAATGGTAGAGGGGCACTCACTGATCGTTTCTACGGAACTCATTCGTCTCGTTGTGCCTTACGGGCTCTCTCTCTCTCGAGCCCAACCAGCAGCCGCACAGCGGCGCACGATATAGGTGAGGACAAGGGAGACTGGAATGGACATTTCCGACTTATTAGCCGTCGTCAGCCAGTCATAATGGTTGGGCTCGAGAGCGAGCCTGTAAGGCACAACGGGACGAACGATTCCGTAAGAACGATCGGTGGGCGCCCCTCTACCATTGTATATCCTCGATCGCAACCGACAAGACGATCCCGTGGCTCAGTGGTTGAAGGCGATGGACTTCTAACCAACAGGTCGCGGGATCGGGCCCCAGGTGTTCCACACTTTGTGGTTGGGTATCACTGTCTGGCGACAGCTACTAAGCCACAAATGGCCATTCCAGTCTTCCTTTTCTTTGTCGGCAATATCTTTTTGCCTATATTCTACAATAGACGGAAAGCCACGCAGTACAACAATCATTTCCGGTTTCATTTTTCATGCAGCTTTCTAGCACCTTAAACTGGTAATGAATTCCCTTCTGCTGTTTGACTGGGTTTGATCAGTGCTCGTCCGTGTACTGGATGATAGTGGGGGACAGTTACCGAATTCCGCGTAAAACCGAAGACTATGCCTAGGAATGTCTCCCAGGTGTTCTTTGCTCAACTGTCTGAACTACGACAGCCTGTCTGAAAATACTGAGGTGCCAATTTGGACAATGACAGCCTTGGGAATACTTGGTAGGATATTTTAGAAGGACCGGCTGATCGATTTGCGATTGGCTGCGGGCTAAGTACCCTAACATCGCGTGATTCAGATCTTTGGCGATACGAACGAGGCGGGTAGAGCTCCGGTGAGGTGGAGAGCAGTAGATAGTTTCCCCTATTCCGATTATGTGCACGAAAAGTGACGTTCCACATGTTCAAAACTGAAAATGTCTATTCGGTGATAGTCATTTAGGTTGTTGAATCATAACATCTTCAGCATCCTAAAATCGCGCGATTCAGATCTTTGATGATAGTCGTTTTGGTGTCAACTCACCACATCTTCCAAATATTCGTATGTCCAACCATGTCTCTTGCAATTGGCCGCATAGGCGGCCCTAATTTTAGTGGTATTTTGATGCATGAGGTGACTTAAACATGTGTTGCGCCGGCCATTACGCAAAACCATCTGAGACATCAGCTAATTCAACTCCAGCACTGAGTTATTTCAGCCAATTGAAGACGTGTTAGGCGTGATTTAACCCTACCTGAAGTGAAGCTCCGACCTTGCGGATTCGGTTTGCAGGAAGCGTATAGCGATGTTTGAATGAAGTGGACACTTCTGGCGCTAATAGGGGACTGAGTGCTGGGCGGTCGGCGTACTCGTCATTGATGGCCGAGAAGGGAAGGGAAGGAAGGCGTGAGTCGATGAAAGGGACGGAAGGTGTACCGGTGGCCACCACTGTAATTGCCCAACGGGAATATACTCTTTTAGCGCTTTAGGATCACAGTTCTCGAGACAAGGGTTTGTAGGTTCCTCTAATGACGAAGTTAATGTACATTTCTCTAAAAGGTAACCCACCTCGCAGCTCAAATCGATCAGACCTATCGGAATCTCAGACATGACAGGAATATATGTATATATAGTAAGGAACTCTACTTCCTTTGCATATGGAAATAAAGCTAGTAAAATACGTTAATATGATACGGAAAAACGTAGAGACAAAACTGAGTCGAGATTATGTCAAATCGATGTAAACATTGCGTCCGCGGTACAAAAATAGGCAAGCCTTGCACGGGTACGGAATTAACGTAAATTGACAGTACGAAGACGCAGGACTTCATAGGCAGGGTTATAAAAACACAAGAGTTAATGGATGATTACTTATTGTTTGGCGACTCCATACGCGGACCTGAGGACGCACCGAGTTTATATATGAAAAATTGAGTTTAACGAGAAAACATCTGGCTTAAACAGCCTCGGTTCAACGTAGTTTGTCACACAGCCATTGCTACTGACTCGCTGGAATTATTTTCCCCGACTTTATGTATTTTTGTAAGTGCACCATTAATAGTCTCACTCATAGCCATGCCTTGTGCATTTTCGTTTCTGGACCCGCGAAACCTTTGCACTGAACACATACAGAAATTCTGAAATGCCTTTTCGATTAGAAAGGATTACTTGGTCGCGGTTGTGATACCGATTATCTTAAGGCATACTTTTATAACATTTTGGGCTTGGCAGGATGTCGGCTTTTAAGTGCACTTTTCAATCACCTGTAGAAATCGTGCTTGGTAAAAAATGACTACTTAATTAACATGCATTTTCCCATTGATTTTCGATGGTCTTGGAAATTCAAATATATTTTATAGAAACCACAAACAAAAATATGCTTTCTTTTAGTCAATCAATAGAGAATCACGTCTTCTTTATATTTTATACTTAAGGAAGGAGTATAATTAGGTTTTAAAAAAGTTTTTAATTATGAGACTTTTTAAGACCGCGATATGTCCATTCACATAGCATCCTACCTGGCCCTTTACCACTGCTCCTCATGAAATTAACAACATGGTCCACATCCATTGCAAAATTTTATGGACCCTGTATGATATCTCTTTAATGACACAGAAAAATATGAAATTTTCTTTACCGCGGAACGCATGCAATCACTAAGCGCTAATGCAACGAATGATCAAGCTCCAAATTTTTCGGCAATTAGGAAACTTTGTAAAACCTAATTATACTCCTTTCTTAAGTATACAATATAAAGAAGACGTGATTCTCTATTGATTGACTAAAAGAAAGCATATTTTTGTTTGTGGTTTCTATAAAATATATTTGAATTTCCAAGACCATCGAAAATCAATGGGAAAATGCATGCTACTTAAGTAGTCATTTTTTACCAAGCACGATTTCTACAGGTGATTGAAAAGAAGTGCACTTAAAAGCCGACATCCTGCCGAGTCCAAAATGTTATAAGAGTATGCCTTAAGATAATCAGTATCACAGCCGCGACCAAGTAATCCTTCCTAATCGAAAACGCATTTCAGAATTTCAGCCAACATTTCATGAGATAGGTCACGCACTGTATACATGCGTGCATGTTCTCTTTCTTTTACAAATTGCAAATGAGTTGCGAAAATTTCCATAGCAATACTGAGAAGACGAGGTGGCGAGCATACGTAGCTTTCGTTAAATTCTCATCGGGCCAGTCCAATTATATGGAGACGAGGTAGAAGTAACAACATGCCAGTGATAAGAGAAATCTATTAAAGTTCGCCTTAAAACCCAGGCCGCGTGAGGGAATGTGGGAGAGGGAGGAGGCGTCGGGTGAGAGCGAAAGGGCGCGGAGAAAGTTACAGCGTAGGCGCGGAGCCTGGGCGTGGTTCTTCTGTGCGCACAAGATTGTCTTTCGTAACCTGATGGCGGCCGCTTCTGCTGTTGCTAACAGGCGCTGGCCCAGTAGCTTAGGATAGCTCGATGAAACCTTATTAATCACGCGAAATGCTTCGGTGGGGTCTACACAATGTCCGAAATCGACATGGCGACAATGGCGCTGCATATGCTCCTAGTTGCGGCTTTTCCCAACCATGCTGGGGGTTCTCCTGGTATTCTCTTAGATAAACGCCGACTCGTACGACTAGTATAATCTGCTCCACAGGAGCAAGTGGAGGGGTAGATGAACATTGAGGTATTCTGGGGTGGCAAGTTATCCTTACCTTCACCGCGTAAAATAGGTTATTAAATAATGGCATTTGAACCCTTGCTGCTGGGAAGGTTAGCGAGACAGCTTGATCAAGACGTCTCTTTGTGAATGCAAAATGAAATCGCGGAAAATGCATTAGTGTAGAAACCACATTATTATACAGCATTGTAAATGGGTTAGTGTAAAAAATACTCATCATAAAAATCCCCTTTCACACCAACCACTTTATTAATATAACTTCTAAATTAAATTAAAGGGATTTGGGGACGGGACTTGGATCTGATTTAGGAGATAATCGGTAGGAATAAGCGTTTTAGTTACTTGTGCAAAACGCTTGCTGTTCTTCCCGATTTGCGATGCATTTTGGAACCCAACCATGCGAATGCTCGAGGCCTTATCGTACTGATTGCAAACTTAACTAAAACAAAATCCGGACAATAAATACTAGCCACGTTTGTACATACTTCCCTGCACAGAACCACCGATTAGAAGTCAACCATTTCAAACCCGCCCGCACTGTTATTCCAAAACCGCAGTCCGATCATCCCAAAATGTCTACCCAAGATGCTGTACGTATTTAGGGGACATAAGGTCATAAATGTCTGGCAAACCAGCATTAAAAGCGAAATGCGTGTCAAAAAGCTTTATTAAGTAATTATAAAAGGTCAACTTAAAACCGTTTTGGTAAGACTAACTGTAGAAAACATATTGGCCCTAAAACGAGCGTGGAGCATTTAATGTTTAGAGCAGAAAACGTGCTGGGTATAATTAAACGAGGGTTGAGATGGGTCTCTGACAGATGCCGTAATGCTACTCAAGTTATTCCTCGTGATCAGATGATAGCAGTTCCAACCAAAATAATGAAGGTCACATTGCCAGCACATGATAAACGACTGTTTCCAAAGTCATGCTTGCTGTCAATTGCAAGCAGGGTTATCTTGAAACGAGATCACATGAGTGCAAGTTTTACTCATCGCCTGCAAGTCAGACCACCAGAAGACCGTGCCTCTTCACGCTCTGTTCGTATACCGATTTGCAGGCGATGGTGACACAATAGTTTTGTCTGCGTTTTATACAAAATCCTCAGTAGAAAAAAAATGACTACAAAATTGACACGAAAACTTCACACTAATTTTCGATGCCCTTATGAATTCACCTATGTTTTAACGAATGGTGCACAAGAATATTCTTTCGGGCATTCATTTCACAGCAAGTCATGTCTTTTTCGGTTTTCAAACTTGAAGAATGGCTTTATGTCTACTTAAAGACGTTTGTAATTGTGAAATGTTTCATGACAGTGTATTGTCCGTTTATTGATGCCGCTCAGAAAAGATGCAAGAAGGTGCATAGCCGGTGCAAAATTGCATGGGTTCTTGATGGCATAAAGAAACGCATGATTCACTTTGCGCGAGAAGTGTACAACAAGCAGTTTAGGAACCCAAAGAGCAATTGCAGCCGCAGATTCAACATTGTTCAGGAAATGAAAATGTTTTTATAACCAAGACATTACCTTTCTCCAAGTTCAAAACTCGAAATGAACAACCAAAAATCAGTTCAGTATATTTTCCGACTACGGCCCTCTCCTAATCCTGAATTCTCTGACATCCTTCCTAGCGATGTGTCCTCTTTCATGTACCTTGTCCTCAAATCTTTCATTTTCCTTCCATATTGAGCCCCTATTTACAAAAGTTTGTAAACTTCTTTATTACATTCGTCGTTTACGTTCCTACCACACACCTCAACCCTTCGTCTGGCGACTCATCTATGCCTGCATTCTTCCTCTTATCCTATACTGTTCTACTGTCTTTTTTCCTGCTTTGCTGAAAAAAGATCTTTTAATTATAAAACTAGTCTTCCGAATGCTTTGTTCTGCCGCTGGTGTTTCTTATCTTATTTTAGTCGACACTATCCTACAACGACATTTCAATAGGGTCAAGCAATTTTGTTGGTCGGATTATAGATGAAGTTGCCCATCCCTTACATTTTGATCTTATTTCTGCGAAGACTTCCCGTCCGATGCGCCGCACCATCCGACTCGTGTCATGTCGCAAATCGGCTTTTCCAGCTTCTGTATTGCCATTCCTGCGCGCTATTACACGTGTGAAGAGATAGAAATACAGAAGCTAAGACTTGGACTGTTCCCATAATAATCGTCCCTTTTGTATTAAACTGTTTGACTTTTGAATAATATATCAATTTGTTTACTACCTATAGGGAATGAAGCCAATTTTTTGCTGAAAATTTTGAATTTATGATTTCAAAATAAAGCGAATTCCTCTCTCTCTCATGACCTAAACTGCTATTAAAAATGTAAGCGAAAGAATATTCTTGTGCGCTTTTCTATAAAAAATATAATCAAATTTACTGGGGTATCGAAAATCAGTGCGAAATCTCTGTGCTAATCATGTAGTCATTTTTTATCTACTGAGGTTTTTACATACGGTCGGAAAGTAGCGCATTAAAAGGTTGAAATGTCTTGAGGTTGTGCTGCACGATAACCATTATTAAAACTCCACCACAGTTGTCCTTTTTAATCCTAAACACATGTGAGAATTTCGGATGAAATTTCACGCGATGAGCCAGTTGTTGTATTTCTGAGTTGAAATGTCTAAAATCCTGTATTTTATCAAGAGCACACTGAGAATGGGCCTTCATTGTAAAAGTCAGTTCTTATTGGCTTTAAGCAAATCTACCAGTTCGACTTTGATCGTAATCTGCAGGAAAGGCGGCATCATAAATCCTTTCTACCGAATGAAGGCTGCCAAAATGTTCTATTTAGAAGTTTTGATACAGACAAATAATAGATACTGTCTCTTTGGTCAATTTACTCTTAGCACCGAAAATAACTAAGTACTCAGTGAAATGTTGGAAACCAATCGACATCCAGTGGATTCCACTGCTTATATAAAGCTAACAGCAAATTTAGGGACGGAAAATACTTCTCAGGCGTAGAAATTGGTAAGCCCATGGATGTATCTGCTAATCATTTTCCAAACCGTTCTCTCAACAAGTGACGCTGTGAAAACGCCTGTAACTTTACCCGGAAACTGGAGAATACAAGTGCATATCGAGGGATGTGAAAACGAAGCGTTTTGGACTCGGGGGCCTGCGTATTAATTTTAACCTCTGTTTTAACATGGAACATTTGACTGAATGCCCTAAACTAGTTCTCCGAGGACGTTTTCTGAAACTTCTGTGCTCATCCTGCCTTATTTATTCAGTTTTCTATCACATGCACATGCATCGGTCATATCTGAAAAGTTACTTCTCTAGTCTTGTTCAATTTTTGGGTTTTTGACATTTCTTACTATTCTTAGAAAACTGCCCTTTCTGACTGACCCAGTACCACTTCTCATGCATTTTTGTATTTTCCCTTGTCTAGCAATATTCGAAATTAAATTATATGTTTCTATGACTGGAAATTCGTCGGTTTCTGAATTACCAGCGATTTTAGTAAATTTGGGCAGGTTAGGTCTGCAGGTTACCAACTGCGCAAGCTTCGAGCGGCTTGATTGCAACTAAAAATGTCACGGCTGGCATTCGATTGCCTACACATTTTCAATCAACATTTAACACAAACTGATTGTATTTTCATCGTAGCAAAATTATCTGATTTACTAAGTCGCCAGCCATCAGGTTGGTGGATAGCCCATTAATCTGGAAGGTAGAAAGAAAGGTTGAATTACTAGACTCCGTTCCAAGTACGATTATTCCCTTCCAGAGGCGCTAAGTGTGACCAAAATTTGAGTGAAAATTATTTCAGCAAACCGCGTCTTACTAATCGGGTGAACCGGCACTAAAAGCAAATTGAGTTATATATGGTTTAGTTTTTTGCACTATTAAAATGAACTGTCGTCTTTTGCCTCGCGTTAAGTTAATTGCTTGGTTTTCCTGCCAAAGCACGGCACGTGTGACCTAAGAAGTGAAAAAATGATATTTTTAGTTCCCAAGCTTCTCCGCACATTCATGGGCTAGGATCGCGGAAAAATGCGATTGTAAAAAAGTTGGAAGATAAAAATGCTCCTGTGTTGGGTGTTTTGTTTTCGAAAACAGAGTGCGACGTAACCGAGATGTCTGCGCTTTATATTCGGAAATCGGTCTTCGCGACTCAAAACTTGCTCTACGCCCTTCGATATTTGGTCATGAGACACTCGCTTGTGGCAGTGCTTTCCTGCATCCTCCTTGGAGCCAGTGCCAATGGTCTGCTAAATTTGATATGTCAAATTAAATGCACAAATATTTTTATATGAATAAGTATGTTTTTGCCCTATAAAAATCCGGTAACAATAATAGAATGTACTAGGAGATCCTCAAGTATCTTTATTTAACAGCCTGCAGAAAGCCCACTGAGGTCCTATTTGGGACAAAATGCAATAAACAGTAAAGGGTGAGATGGTAGTTTACTTAGCATGTCTTAGGTTTAAACACATGGTTACACGGCTGTTTTGCTGGGAGATGATCATTCACATGCTAGTCTTTTGAGTCTACGGAAATGTAAGCGTCTTTGGAACGAATCTATACTTTAGGGTATGTACCTGTAAAGAACGTTCACTTACAATTATATCATTGGCCTCATCGGTTTCCGGTTTCTCACAGGCAAATTGCGACGATGCTGCAAATGAAATTCTCCTAATCGCGCTACTGACACACTGCCTGGTATTTTAGGGTAAGGGAACACCATACCAACAGCATGAGAACTAACCAAAAGTCCACGTCGGGGGACGCACTGATGAGCCGAACCCCACTCAGCTGCGCCATGTGGCGGCAGAATATCGGCGAAACACGTACGTATGGGCTTTTGGCTAGAACCTGTGCCGTTAGTATGGCATCGTCTTGTCCTTAAATATACTACTATCTGCCTGTCGGCAGTTAATGAATATCACGCGGTTACCCGCTATATCTGATGAACTTTGGCCCGAATATTCATACATAAAAAAATCGGTATAAGCCTATAGACCTAGAGCATACTGATCTACTCCAAGTTCACAATTAGTTTCTGAGTAAATTAAGAAGCAAATATATGACCTGCTAATTTGACATGCACCTTACAGTAGATGTGCCATCGCATGAAATGTTAACCGCAATTCTGAAATGCATCTTCAATCAGATCGTGAGTCCAACTATTGCGCAGCACGATCTCAGGATATTTTAGTCACGTCAGGATGCCGGCTTTTGAACAAGTTTCTTTTCGGCACTTTCAAAAACTGCACTCTGTAAGAAATGACTACCTAAGTGGAATGAACTTTCCCTATTGATTCTGCATATTCTTATAAATTCAAACATATTTTGTAGAGGAAAGGGTACAAATATTTCTTCTCGTGTCCACTTGGTAGCAAGTTACGTCTTCTTTAAATATTTCGGTTTTAAAAGCCTTCTTAATTGCCGAATAATTTTAAGCCGTTACACTTGCATTCAATGTTTTCAAACCATAGGGAGAATAACACATTTTTAGATATTATTAAGATGCCGTATAGGGCTTGTAGTATCTCGCAACAGATGTGGACTAGGTTGTGTACTTTATAAGCAGTAATAATAAATTAACGGATGCGATGTTCTATGGGTAGACAGTCTATGGTTTTAAAAATTCTCAGAATTGGAAACTTTTTTAAAACAAACAATATCCTCAATCTAAGTAAAAAAATTAAAGAAGACCTAATTTACTACCACTTTGACAAAAGATGGACTATTTTCTGAATGTTCTCTGTGAAATTTATCTGAGTCGAAAATCGGTAGGCGTAATTCATCTAACATAAGTAGTCATTTCTTGCAGAGATTAGTTTTTGCAAGCAATGGGAAGGGGCTCGACCAAAAACCGGAATCCCGACGTGAATGAAATATCTTGTGATTATGCTGTGCGACAGTCTTACGGCCCTATTTAATTCGTCTTTTCTAATCAAGACCACATTTCATAATTTGGGCTAGCATTTCATGGTATTGCGCACCTGAAATAAGTGACTATTTTAGTAGAAACAGCCTTTAGAATGGTCCTTGGATTATCTTGTCAACTTTTCAATTCTTAAAATCTCAATGTATGACTGAGCGGACTGAAGTCACTCGACGCAGCAGAGGTGACAGAATTCTTGCATGCAAAAGTTGTAAAAATGGAATGATTGGCTAAAAATAATAAATGCATCTATTTTTATTTTTGCATGCATTTAAAGACCCTTTTCTCGTAAATTATTAAGTCTATGAAGTTGAGCATGGGTTTCCTGAGGATTGTGGAATTCCGGTGGTCGAACGGGAGAACAAGGAGGAAACTGAGAGAAGAAAGACCCGCGCAACACCCAACAGTTGGTCTTGGCATGTAAGTGGCTGTTTTTCATTCCTTAACACACCAGTACCAAGTAATTAAATAGTGGTAGTAGCGACGAAATATTGTTTTGCCTTAGAACATAGGTAATAAGTAATTAAAAAGTAGCAGCATTAATGCAGTATGGTAAAAAAACAAACATGTCCTTCACTTAATATTACTTACGCAATGGATGTGACCTTGTAGTAAAGCACTGTGCAGAGTGACGTACGACACTTAATAAGCCGAATTGCTCAGTTCATAAGGATATCTCTTTTATAAACCTAGGCCGGGAGCGTCATTATATCTCATTGCCTGATTGTGAATTACCCGTGTAATCCGTCCTGACGCTTTACAGAAATTAAATCGAAATGATGCTCTGATAGTGTGCTTGATAATCAGATCAGAATGAAGTTCGAAAAATGGGATAACTGAAGCTAAGCATCCGGTGCCTTTTGCGACGCTGCGCCTCTCGTCAGTGCCTGCAAATGCTCACCAGTGGCGGTCTGATTCTCGGCCAATCGCGGCATTTCAAACCGGCCAATCATCTTCAAGGCCGACTCAGGTGTGCACTCGTACAAAGCGTGACGTGATACATTCCCCGCTGACACTTGGGAAATCGCTCTCCCAGCACCACTCTCAGGCTGCCAGCTTACTCCGACGGGTTCTTTAATTGTTCTGTACAGAATCCGGTATCCTTTCGACTGGTGCCCAACACTCTTTCTGTTGGGGACCAGATCTTAAGGTCGTAGTGGATAGGGTTTGCCAATGGCCTAAGCTGTCGTGACACTGGTGACCTCGACTTAATCGAAACGCCGCTGCCAGACGGGACTCAGCTCAGCGAGCATGAACTTTACACTCGATCTTATCCCACTGTTTCCAGCATGTCGCCTCTTGTATTCGTTGATAGGAAAATGCGGTTGTGGACACCTTGTTACGATTTCATCAAATAAACCCTGCCCACTGAGTCTAGGCCGATTCCGATCTAGTCAAGCAGCGTAGCCCCTTCATCAATGCCAACACCCGAACTCCTTTCCAGTATATGCGAATGCCAAAAATGTTGTATTTTCCGAGCAAGCGGAGCATGATAATCATTTCGTTGGTGGACCTGCATAGCTCCGATCAGGAAAATGTGTAGTGACCGCTGCTATGCCTTTTATTTACACAAAAAATTTATAGTTGCGAAAATTCCCATGGCAGTATTGCGAAGACCAGTTAGCGAACATAGTTGTGCGTCTGATAAATCCTCACCAGGTCAGTACATGCATATGGAGACGCGGTAGAAGCAAAAGCATGTCGATGATAAGAGAAATCAATCAAACTTCGTCTTGAATCACAGGCGGGGCGTGGGAATGTGGAAGGGTGGGTTTGGGGGGGGGGGGGTTAGAAGTCGGTGCCAAGTCCGGGTCGAGAGCGGAATGAGGCGGAGAGTTACACTGTTAGTCGACTTTTAGGCTCTGCACCTACCGCGGTCGAAAGTCCTTTAACGCTGCAACTCGCTGAAGAATCACTTTCAGGCTCCACACCTACCATGCGACTCTCCGCGCGCCCTTATGCTCCCAACCGACTGTTACTGTCCCCACCCCTCTATATTCCCACACCCTCCTGTGTTTTCAGACGAGCATGAATCGATCTCTTTTATCGCAGACATGTTTGTGCTTCTATCCCGTTCCCATATAAATGTACTGGCCTGACCATAACTTATCGAAAGCAAACGTATGCTCCCCAACTGGTCTTCTGAAAATTGTTATGGCTATACGATCTGACAGGTGCTTTCCAAAATCGCCCTCATTCATTTTTGTTTAGTGTGAGATCGATCTATTGGTCACTGTGACTCGTGGAATAAGTGCAGTTTCGGTCAGATGTGTTGAGGACACTTTCCCCCAGGCGGGTCCCTTCAGGAGCATGATTGTAAATGCCAGAACTCAAATCCACGCGCAATTTAGCGTCGTGCTAGTCAAGTCCTACAAGCTTGGAAGCAAGTCAGCAAACCTGTCAATGGAATCGAATAAAGTACCCACCACTTCACCACAAAAATCTTCATAACCCGGCTTTAGAAGAACAAATTGCTCTGATGATGGGTTCAATTGGTAATCCGAAACGTCAGGCGAATAAAGCCCTCGTTCCAGCGATTGCTCCTTCTCCTTATCAACTAGTTCCTGGAACTTGCATATTCGCGTACATCGTAGAACAAACCCTCCGCCCTCCAATTAGCTACACCGGGAGTGTGATAAATGCATGGACCCTGGTAACGTCGACTCCAGTCACTTGACAGTGGAAAAAAAGAGCAATGACAAGTGTTATAGAGGCAGCCAGCGCGTGGGTCATATACAGACCAGTGTGCGTTGAATTCAGATCACAGCCCGGAGCTCAAAATGCCAATTAGTCGCTGTCTTCGATAGTATAGATGACAACAATAATAAAGTGACGGAGATGGCTTCCAAATGTAAATGTCTGCAAGACTTTAAACGTTTATGGTGGGAAGAATATTCAACAGCAGCAGAGTGTGAGCCTGTCAAAGAATTTGATTTATCGAACCTAATCTACTCTACGCCATGCAGTTTATGTGTGTGCTTATATTACATTTGTTACAATTAAAGAGAGGCTAACCCTACGGCGATTTGGCAAGCGGGACGAGTAAGTGCCTCAAAAGACGATCTACCATTGTATACTCCCGATCGCAGCCGACAGGACAACGAGCCCGTGGCTTAGTGGTTGGAGGCGTCAGACTTCTAACTACTAGGTCTCGAGTTCTAACCCCAGGTGTTCCACACTTCGGGATTGGGTATGCCTGGCTGACGACAGCTAATAAGCCAGAAATGGCCATCCCAGCCTCGATTGTCTTTGCCTGTGATGCTATTCTTCCTATGTGTATTATGCGTCGTGTGCGGCTGCTGGTTGGGCCCGAAAGAGAGTCCGAAGACACAACGGGATGAGCGAGTTCGGGAAAAACCACTGGTAAACGCCCCCCTAACACTTTAAGCCATCAAAGTTGTGTGGACTTTCCTCCGAGCGTGTAACATGTTTTTTCTTCACATTTTAAGGTGGGCTTGTGGTCGGACCGGAGAGGAGAACACCCGTTTTGTGGAGGAACGCTCATCAGCCGCTCCCTCGTCGTGACTGCCGCACATTGCATCGGCGCTCTTGTTGGTTGCCATGATTTACCTTTGGGAAGGCCATTTAGCATGCCAGCTACATCGGGTGATCGACTTCAGATACTTGCTGGTGCCTACGATTACACAGAAGCTGGTACATCCAATCGGTTGCATCCCGTGCAGTATGTGATCGTTCACCCGCAATACAACAACACCCTGCGTGAAGAGGGCTATGACATCGCGCTGTTAAAGCTGTATGAGGATGCCAGAACAGGTACTTTTCTACACTACTGCCTGTAGTATTTCACTACACTGTCATTAGCAGCTATGCTTCGAATTCGATAAAAATGCGCCCTCTAATCAAATTGGACCAAACCAATAAAACTGGCGTGTATATAAATATATCCGTATGCCTTCTCACCCGTAGGCTACTATGTATGCATCGTAGCGTGCTCTAAACAGTACCATGTCTACTGTCCTGTGTTCCTGTTAACGGTGTAAAGGTGAGTCCGTGCGACCTATCTGCTTTCCGTCCAATCGCGTGACGCTGCCGCGTGGAACCATTTGCTACTTCGCCGGTTGGGGAGGACTTTACAAGAAATGGTCAGGAGGCACACTGGTTTTTCCGAAGACGCTCAGAGAAGGCCAAGTCCAAATTGAGTGGGATGATCCCTGCATGGAGACCTTTGCGCCGTACTACAACGACCTTCACTCGTGCATAACAACAGAGGGCACGGTACGTTACAATGGCTGAACAAGTCACTGAAAATTTGCGAACAATCCACTCCTGCAATTATATTTAACACTTTATAGCAGTTAGTAACTATCTGCTCACTCGGTGACGCGAAGTTCTCTGGCTGTGGGAGCACGAATTGTCACGTGCGTCGAATAAGGCGGATGTTTGCGTTACTGGCACGATATGCAAATTTGTTCACAGATGATTACTGTCTCCATCCAGCCGTTATAGTTCAGAACTCCTGTTTGTTTTACACCTTCAGAATCCATGTGTCGGAGACAGCGGCGGTGGACTATTCTGCCATTCACATGACGACAACAGGTGGTTCTGGTACGGACTGATAGAGGGCGGAACCAATGACTGCAAAGGACGCTGTGCAATTGTCAGCAATGTCAAGGCAATTCACGGATGGGTAAAAGACACTGCGTTTTATCTAGGTTTGTGATTTGTAAATTGTCCGAATCGCCGTCTTACTGAATAAACGAAACTTCTCCCAGAAATGAGGTTTTAGTGCCGTATGTCAAAAAATCAACTCATATGACGACCCAGAATGAATGAAATTTCGCAAAAATGCACTGCCCCTGGCATGAGATCAGGGACAAACACTGCCCACGAGGGACTCCTGACAAATGTTCCACTGACAGTTCAACGGCGCTTGATGGTTAGATCCGGAGTCATGAGTGCTTCGACTGGGCTAGGGGTGGGATCATTGCCTACCCGGCCAGATCCATAGAATAGCTCTAACACCATGAGAAGTTTGCGCCGGCAGAGACCCCCTTAAGTTGGGCCAATCGACACAAAGCCGGGTGACTGATGGTCCCATCAAGCCCGTAACAAACGTCCACGACTCCTGTGATTTTTCATACTTTTCACAGTCTTTTCTTAAGTGAAGTTGTTCTGCTTTTCAAAATTCGCAGAATTTCGCTAACGGCAAACGAGGATCGGGCGAAGACACTTGGACCACGATGCTCTGCCAGGTACAATGGATGGGAGCACGAAGTTAGTCGAGGTCGAGATATTCCAGAATAGTAAAGGGGCGCTCACCAATCGTTTCTATGGAACCCACTTGTCCCGTTGAGCCTAACAGGCTGGAGACTGGAATGGCTATTTCTGGCTTATTAGCCGTCGTCAGTCAGTCATACTGGTTGGGCTGTTGGTTGGACTCGTGAGGGAGCCCGTAAGGCATAACGGGAGGAGTGAGTTCCGTAAGAACGATCGGTGAGCGTCCCTCTCTACCATTGTATATTCCCGATCGCAGCCGATAAGACGAGCCCGTAGCTCCGTGGTTGGAGGCGTCGGACTTCTAACAGGTCGCGGCGTCGAGCCCCAGGTGTTCCACACTTCGAGCTTGGGTATGGCTGGCTGACGACGACTAATAAGCCAGAAATGGCCATGCCAATCTTCCTTGTCTTTGTCGGCAATACCTTTCTGCCTATATTCTACAATAGACGGAAAGCTACGCGGTACAACAATCATTTACGGTCTCATTCGTCATGCGGCTTCCTAGAACCTTAAACTGGCAATGAATCCCCTTGCGCTATTTAACTAAGTTTGACCAGTGCCCAGCCGTGTGCTGAAGGATATTGGGGTGCAGTTACCGAAGCCCGCGTAAAACCGAAGATTAGGCCTAGAAATACCGCCCAGGTGTTCTTTACTCAATTGTTCGAGCTACGACAGACAGTATGAAAGTATTTAAGTGCCAGTTCGGACAATGACAGCCATGGAAATACTTGATAAAATGTCTTAGAAGGGTTGGCTGGCCGATTTGCGATCGGCTGCGGCCTGTGTGCCCTTATATCAAGTGATTCAGATCTTTGGTGATACGAACGAAGCGGGTAGATCTCCGGCGAGGTAGAGCCCAGTAGGTAGTTTCCCCTATTTCGATTATGTGCACGAAGAGTGACGTTCCACATTTTCAAAACTAAAAATGACTATTCGGTAATATTCATAACATCTTCACAGTAGCAAAACAATTTCGATCCATTTAGACGACGGACTGCCTGTGTACGTTAGTACTGAACTTCGAGACACGGAATCGCACAGATTAGCTAATCTGACTTCTAAAAATCGATAAACTGTTTGGATCTCTCTGAAAAATAACTTGTGTGTGTGGGTATGGCTGGCTGACGACGGCTAATAAGCCAGAAATGGCCATTCCAGTCTTTCTTGTCTTTGTCGGTAATGCCATTCTGCCTATATATCATGCGCCGCTGCGCGGCTGCTGGTTGGGCTCGAGAGAGAGCCCTTAAGGCACAACGGAACGAGTGAGTTCCGTATGAACGATCGGTGAGCGCCCCCTAACATTGTATATTCCCGATCGAAAAGCGACAAGGCAACGGGCTCGTGGCCCGGTGAGTAGAGGCGTTGACTTCTAAACCAACAGGTCGCGAGTTCGAGGCTCGGGTGTTCCACACTTCGGGTTTGGGTATGGCTGGCTGACGACGGCTAATAAGCCAGAAATGGCCATTCCAGTCTCCCTTGTCTTCGTTGGTAATACCATTCTGCCAATAACTTGTGTATTAGCAAACTGATTCCTACGGTTAGCGTCGGAGAAAATCAACTTTCAAGTACGACGAGCCCTGTTAGACAAAACTCTCGATGGTAAATTACTGCCCTCTCAGAGAAAACGCGCCCAGACGCGCAACTGAAGTGAGGACGGGCATTGATGTAGGAAATTGTCCGTCCATTTTTACCCAAATTTATTAACACTTAACTTGGCAAACACGTTAGACACATTTTCTGCACGAAGAAGGACATTCGCCGGGAGGGGTTGGCGAGTGAGCAAAATGGGCAACACCCGAGGCGCCTGGAAGTCCTCAGATCGGTTTCCGTCATGAGTTAGGTCACGTACCGTGTGGCCGAAATTTGGCTAGAACGTACTAATCCTCGAAAGACGTTTCGCCTTCATCTTCTACTTGGGTTTGAATAGTCCCCTGCATGGAGATTACGATGCTGAATAACCACGCGCAATGAATGGGAGTACTGCACTGGGTAAGGCAGCCGACACACCATTTACTGATGACTCAGTAATATTCAATTGCCCAGATGTCGCTAAGTAGAGAGCACTTACCATGAGTCGTAATACCAGGACAATGCTCAATAGCTCACATTCCTCGTTCCTGAATAGTCGAAATTTTTAAATCTTCCAAATCGCATCCAGCTTAACTGTAGAGCCTCCATTGGACTTCTAGCATGAGATGCGCCCTCCTACTTTGACATCGGTATAGAAAGACTGGCTGTTCGTCCAGAAAACCTCGAAGTTATTGCTAAAAATCAAGAAATGTATCCTTTTGGAACGTGTTGTGCATAACAGACTACGCTCATTCCGCAAGACGTGGCGTAGTTCACGATCAGATCCCATGCAGGCATAAATAAAAACGAGCGTTTCCATCGCATATAAAATGCGAATTTACTTGCTGAACGAGTACACACCTTCCATGAAAGCCTACATGCCTGGTGAAACACAGACATCGCCCAGAAAGGAAGCAACTTCTGAAGAGATAACGGAACAAATAAACATCTTTTCTGTTTTCCTATATAGTAAAGAGTAGAAAAAAACCACAGATAGGAACACTGAGGACGAGACTTGTCTGGGGGAACACTTTTCCTCCATGGAATCCTATACTCTCCAGTACTGGTTCCGCTACCGATGCCCTCGGTTGCGGTAGGCTCGAGTGGTGAGCTGTGCACGCAGGGCTCCTGCGGAGATGTTGTCCCCGGCTCCGACGGTCCTCGTGACCTTGGAACAGACCGGCACCGGTGCGACACAGATCTCCACTCGTGTCTCCACCCGCCGACTGGCAGACGACGTCGGCGATGATGCTGGCCGGGCTGAAGTTCCCGCGGCTACCGCGGGCTCCGGTTCGTACCAGCAGGAGACGGGTGCTGAGGCGTTGAAATGCAGCCGTGGCACGGAGTTGGAGGCGGCGAGCAGATCGGGACCGGAGGCGGTGGTAGCGAGCAGGGCGGAAGCCCAGCGATCAGGATCAGCCGTCACTGCGAAGGAGTCGTCCATAAGGAGACGCGTCAGGACGGGATCAATGGAGGCAGTGGCACAGGTGTGACGGTGTGCTATGAGAGAGGCCTGTTAGGGGGAAGTGAATTGCATAACGAATGGCGAAAGGAGATTCCCGTGTATTTAGACGAAAAGCTTCGCGAAGAGGTCATGTGCACAACTAACTTCCTTTGTAACAACTCACACAAGTGCTGATTTAGCCGACTTTAGAGCCCCCAGCAACACGGATCAGCGCGACCTACGACCTGCGATAGGTCACCAGTTAGTGTTCCATTCCCTAACACTGGTGACCGAAAACCTGGCACCCACGTCTGTGCACCTCTTCGGTTGGTGAAGACGCCAGTAAGAATACAGTTTGAAGAGATCATGACACGGGAGGACTCTCTGGTCAACTAATTATTTAAGATGTTGACTCCTTACCAAACCGTCTCACGCATGCTAGGTGCGTATGTGTGTTTCACGGGTAGTGTCTATCAGTTAGATGACTGACTGGTTACCCGGCCTTTGAAGTGTGATGGCACAGGTTAAGTGTAGGGCTGTGTGTCACTCTGTGGGGCTTCAAGGATTGTGAGTATCTGCTATGCCAGGATCAGCAAACCATGGCCAACATCCAACGCACGTGATGAGATTGCAGCAATTAACGACGCGAATGTCGGCCATCAAGAAGTGATCACACCAAGTGCAACGATCCCGGATGAAGGGGGGAGCCGTGAATGCTCATAGGTATGCGATAGCATGGCGACTGCATCCTATAAATACTTCGACCCCTTGTGCGTGAATCACCCGTATCTGCTGTTGTTTCTGATGATGTATTCGAGCAGGAATCCGAAACATCAGGCTAATAAAACTCTTGTCCCAGCGATCGTGACTCCTTCTTCAAAACCATGGCCTTTGCAACCTCCTGTGCGCTACCAGTTCTCTGGCAAGCCGGTAGATACGCTTGCGCTCCCGCTAGGTATACAGGTGGTGGGCATGGCGGCCCAGTCATTCTGGTCGTCTTCCTGACCAGTTGTTGTTGGTTAAGATACTGGTCAGGTGTTTGTTGTGGACCCGGGGACGTGGGGTGGAACGCCCAGGTGCGAGTTGGGCCGTGCCATCCGTCCGCGCCCTTCCACCTCCGGTCTTTTTGACTCTGTCTTGACACCGGGTCCACGTGGGAGAGGGAGAGAGAGTGCGGTAGATGCTGCGCAAGTCTACTCTCACTAGAAACTAATGTACACGCAAGTCCCGTGCATGCTTTACCTTTCAGTGGAGCACACGGTGGGCATCGTCGGACACGACGGTCGACAGATGTCAC